ATTTTGAAGTGATTTACTCGGCCCTCCATTGGTTGTGCGCCCTCTTCTATTCTCAAGATAGGGATTAAAACATTTCGAACGTTGTTACACCGGTGTACAACGGAAACAAAATTATTCCGACCACTGTATATATATATATATATATATATATATATATATATATATATATATATATATATTTGAGTATGTGTGTCTGTGGTTGATGAATGCACGCCGTTTGTGCCATTGCTACTTTTACTATATTGTAGTGGTTGGAAGTAAGTATAATATGGGAAAGATTGCGCAGGTTACCTGAATTAAATATGAATGAGAAGCCAGAAAGGCACGACAGGGCAGTTAGAGACGATGCAAGCAAACGGCGTTTGTGCAAGCCGCATTTCACTGATAAAATAGGTATAAATAGCACTCTGGTTCCCCACCAAAATCTTAGTATTTGTTCCTTGGCAAATATCTGAACTATGTTAAAAATTTCATCAAACTCGTCCCTACATTTTGCGTAATGTTTATAATCGACAGGCAAATTAGGCTCCTTGGCGGTTGTAATAACTTAATCAGCCAGTGAACCGTATACTTCGTTGTAAATGTTATTTGGGTCCTCGGTAAAAAAGAACTCAGCCATTGCATGCCCCAATTCGTCTTTGGTGATAAAGCCATCGTTGTTGTTGTCGATCAGGTTGAATGTTTTATGCGAATCCTCGGCGGAGAGGCATAAGCTATAGAAAAAAGCTTTGTACTCCTCTCTGGAAATGAGACCATCGCTATTTAAGTCAACGACAGCAAAAGCCCTGGACACCGCAGTCGAGAAAAGCTCCTCCCGGAAGTGTTTTTGGTTACACAACCCTTGAACCAATTCCACGTATTCTTCCTCCGATACCTTAGAAGCATTTTTCGTAATATATTCCCATTGCCTCAAGCGCTGATTTAGAATCTGCTCTGCTCTCTCATCTGAAAAACGAGCATTGTGTTCCATACATTTATTTATATTAATATCCACTCATATATAATGCATGTAACTCAGAATTTATCTTAAAATCAACGCTACGTTGATTGTCTTTTAGTGTTTGTAAAAATTAAATTGATCTAAAATGAGAGGCAGAGAAAGAACATACATATATTAACTTTTTTTCATGCAAGGTACAATAATTAAGTACATTAATCTGTTTTAGTTCATAAAATAATATGGCTAAAATTGAATTTGCAACAGAAATGTTATTTTACTCATTTTGATTATTCAACAATTTGAAACAAATTAGCCTACCGTCAAGGTCCAAATACTCTGCACAACGTTTCGCACTTATCACGTAATCTTCTTTTGTGATGTAGCCATCACTGTTGACATCAAAACACCTGAAATATGTACGTAATTTCCGCTTCCAGTGTTCAGATCCAGTCAACGGCGGGTAGTCCATTGGAGCCTGAAAGTTGTTCAAATACCAGTTCATGTGTACATGGAAAACGGATAAAGAAAACAAAAAATAAAGTTTATTATATTACTTAAAAAAGAACCATACATTGGAGGATAGAACACAAATAGTTGCAATATATTCAAGCAAATAGTTGCACATAAAAAAGTAACACATGGTATATCCTGCCGAAACCAAGTGAAGAGGAACAACGATTGTTGATCACAAATATATATATTGGAGTATTGCCTGTTTGTTTTAAGTATCCCCAGTTCAAACCTTGTTTGAAGAGATATTTATGTTTACCAAAGTACCTCAGCGCACATACAGATCCATTCGCTCTCTTTTTAATTACCCTTTTCAACTGTATCTGTTGGTGTTTTAGTCCTCAGACAGGAAAACTAAGTGGAGAAAATTTTAGAACGAATTCATGTTGCAAAACCTTCCCCAACCGCCTGGTAGCCGGCATAACCCTTGCTAGCTCTTGACACATCAGTTGCATAATTCTTATCAACCCCCTACTCACCTGGAAAACCTGAGCCATGTTGTCCGCCGTAGAGATCGCTATACCTGTATCCGTATCAAAAATGTTCTTTCGTTTAAACGTCTTTCAGCGCTTAAATAAAGATCGACCTATATTCATGCATTACCAGGGTGCACGTGTTATATAACGTGATACAATTATCATAAGTTATCAGTTCGGTTACTGTAAAAATGCAATTGCCCTTGTGAATAAAACTTCAGACTGCTAAATTTTTTTAAAGAAAATTAACCACTTTCAGAGTAGTGAATACAGTATGTGCCCACACACTTAGATAAGCTGGTTGTTCAGAATAATCAAACAAAAGAACCTTCTTGTTTTATTTTTTAAAGCTAACCTGAAGGTTTGTGTTGCGTAAATAGTAAAGCAAGGTTATCCATTTTCTGTTCTCTGTTATGTGCAATTCATGCTAAAAACAGCGGCCAATTTTATCAGATCGGAAAACATAATGTACCGGTTGTGTTATGTACTTGACACATCAACTGTCTTCAGGCTTTGTTAAAAAAGATAGATGTAAAGTGGGGTGAGCAGTTCAGTGGGCACCTTTAAATATAGTATATATTGGCAATCATGTCACGTTTTCAGCTCAAAGATGCAAGCACAACATTGACATGTGCTTTAATATTTAAATATGTTTAATGAGTTGGTTAAAATCTGTGATATTTTGAGATACCTCTATCATTTTAAGTGGGAGAAGAACATTTTACTTTTTATTCACGTTTCAGAAAAGTTCAATGGATCAATCACTCTCCTATATAGTGAATGAAATAATATTACATACAAGTATGGCCCCCAGGTGCATTATTCAAAAGGTGTTTGTCTGTTGATACCCTGAATTGGGCCAACTTACAGTGACCCATCTCCACCGCGTCCATTTTTGAGATTGTTTTGACGTGTTCAAACTAGGGCTCGTTAGTTTTGCCGCTGGTCTAGCTAATTTGCTTATTACAATATTTTAAAACAGCATTGATATATATATATATATTCCGTTCAGTTTTAAGAAATAATACATCTCAATGAAACATCTCAGCACTCTCAACAAATATTATCACAATACAAATTAAATCAAGAACTTCAAAAATTTAAAAATAATGCAATCGAAATAAAAGCCAAAGCGAGAAGGGACACTAATCAGTAGTGTTCTTATAATATTTTTTATTTTTCTCTTGAAGCTGCATATATCATAGGTGCCGTAAACATTAAAGGATATGGGCCTTTTTGCTTAAATCGGATCAAAAGATTATAAAAATGCAATCACAACTTCTTCCCCCATATGTTATAGAACCCTTTTGTTTCTTTTCACTTTAGGATAATCTGTCCACTTTTAAAAATTATGTTTAATCTGAGCAAATGACATATTGTATATCCACCAATATCAACTCGGCTAAAACATAATTTGTCAAGGATTCAGCAGGCAAGCCCCTACATACACTGTATCATCAACATATCGTCAGGCTATCCTTCATCACTGAAGATGACTGACTGAGTTGATCGAACCGGAGGCGTGTCTCAGACAGGCTGTGAGACTGGGTTCCCATCCCTAGATCGATCTAACAGGATTGGCCCATCTTGGTACAGAGTTTATAAATCTTGATGATGGAAGGTATAAACCAAACTACAGTCTCTTAATTGGCATGTCTTCTCTAACTTCTTTTAATCACATCATAAAATTAAAAAAATACAAAAATTTATAACTAAAGAAAACAAAATAAAAGCCATAGTGTTGTAGCATCCTTTAAATGACTTTTTTCTTTTGAAGCAAAATGTATCATTGACGTAAAATCGATCTATTTTAGTTGAATTTGTTACCTTGATCTCTATTTTCCAATGGGAATTGCTAGTTCCTACAATGGTTCTTAAAACCAAATTGTGTAATTTATCCATGCCGACCGTCTATTTGTTTTTTTTTTTCTAACATTTAGATTTCATATAAATGACTTTGATATATACATGTCAAATATGTACATTCCAATATACCTCGTACTTTACAGCAATTATTTTAACAATTATTTTCATTGGAACAAAACTATACGATTTAAAGCAATGTGCATTGAAAGGTTTATAAATCTACCACAGTGACTTCGACATTGGAACGAACCATTCCAAATTCTTGACAAATATTGTAATAAGGCTACACCCATTAGATTATCTTCATGGTCGTATAGTAGATATGACATTACTGGTTGAACTTGTTGACATTCAAAAGGCATGCATTATTTAAGTCAGTATCTAATCAGCCAGTGGTCCGAATATTACGTTGTATTTGTTCTTTGGGTCTTCAGTAAAGAAGAACTCGGCTAAACCATGGGCAATCTCGTCAATGGTTATAAATCCACTTTTGTCTATGTCCAACAGGTCAAATATTTTCTTCGACTCTTCTTCAGGGATGTTAAAGCTATAAGCCGAAGCCTTGTGTTCATCTCTTGAGATCAGACCATCGCTATCAAGGTCCAAAGCAGTAAAATGCATGGACACATGTAAGGGAAAAACCTCGTGTCGGTAGCTTATCTGATTAAACACCATTGGGGCCGATTTAAGATATTCTTCCTCCGATATCTTGGAAGCACCCTCTTTCATTTTTGAAGTTGAATCCCACATAGCAATACGCTGATTCAACATATGCTCTGCTCTCTCATCTGAAAAAAGCGAGAAGAGATTTTTAAATTGATATATTTTTCTATCCAACTGTAACTATCGTTTAATCCACATTCTGCCAGTCAAAGTTCTATAAAATAAAGCTGTATTTGAGGATTTTGATGTGTTATTTATTTATTTAAACAGTAAAAAGATATAAACACCTGTATTGTATAACATCTTTGCTTGTTGCAACAAGTGATTGTTACATTTATCTCGTGATGATATTTTCCCCATGAAAACATATTGCAAAATGCAAACCTGCAACAGATGCATGTTTCCTTATTTCACAAGTCATAATTTACCAGTTAGTTCAAACCAGTTAGCCTACCGTTAAGGTTCATGTAGTCGGCGATGCGTTTTGCACTTATCACGAAGTCTTCTTTTGTAATGTAGCAGTCACCGTTTACATCAAAACACCTGAAAAATGTGCGCATCTTCCGTCTCCAGTGTTCAGTTCCAGTGACCGGCGGGTACTCCACTGGAGCCTGGAAAGTGTTCAAGTATGTTGGGAATTGGATTTTGAAAATAGAAATGTCTAAGTCTCTGCGATTGAAGATTAGTGCATAGTACATAGTACATGTATATAGGAACTGTTCGGTACGATCCTTCTCACCTTTCTAAACTGTATCACATGGTTTTTTAGTCCCCGGGCAGGTAAGATGAGCGGAGAGAATTTTGGAACCAACCCATGTTGCACAACCTTTCTCCACCTCTGGGTAGATGACATAAGACTTGTTAACGCTTGACATGGGTGTACCTGTATGATTCTTAGTAATCCTCTACTAGCATTGAAAATCTTAAACATGTTGACCACAATTAAAATTGATATTTCCGAGTCAGAAAAATGTGTCTTCCCGCTTTGAAGTGTGCAATAAAAGACGTTCTTTACTATCAACATGTCGACAGATTGTATATTGTAAGATGAACGTGAGTATTATGTACAAAGACCGATAGTGTTACAATGAGGCCAGACACGATGGATTCATTGATTAACGAAAATGACTAACCCAAACGTAATTAAAACGTATTTGCAACCATTCTTGTAATGGAAAAATTGTGTTGGCTTCAGTTCGGTAAGTGGAAAAAATTACAATTGACCCTTAGGGCAGTTGAATTTTTCCTACGAAAATCGACCACATAAAACAATTTATAAATAAAAGCAAACGCATTAGTTAAGCAAGGTGATCCATTTTCTGTTCTCTGTTATGTGCAATTCATGCTTTAAAAACAGCGACCAATTTTGTCAGATCGGAAAACATAATGTACCGGTATTGTTATGTACTTGACACATCAACTGTCTTCAGGCTTTGTTAAAAATGATAGATGTAAAGTGGGGTGAGCAGTTCAGTGGGCGCCTTTAAATATAGTATAAATTGGCAATCATGTCACGTTTTCAGAACAAAGACGCTAGTACAACATTGGCATGTGCTTTAATATTTAAATTTGTTTAAACGACTTGGTTAAAATCTGAGATATTTTGAGATACTTCTATCATTTTAAGTGGGAAAAGAACATATTTTACCTTTTTCACGTTTCAGAAATGTTCATTGAACCAATCATTCTCTTATATATGGAATACAATACAATTACATTCAAGTATGGCCCCCGGGTGCATTATTCAAAAGGTGTTCGAGCTATCCCTTTGGTATATGCAGTATGGTTGGGGGGGGGGGGGGGTATCGCCTTTTGATACCCTGGATTGGGCCAACTTGCAATGACCCACCTCCACCACGTCCATTGTAAGGTTGTTTTTAACATGTTCAGACCTGGGCTAGTTAGTCGTGTCGCTGGTCTAGCTAACTTACCTATTATAATATTTTAAAACAGCATTGATATATATGTTTCGTTGTATATATGTGCCGTTGTAAGAAATAATAACATCTCAATAAAACATCTAAGCACTTCAACAAACATTATCACATTATTAAATCAAAAACTACAAAAACTACAAAAATTTTAAACTAATGAAACCGAAATAAAAGCAAAAAGGGACACAAGTCAGTAGTGTTCTTATAATATTTTTTTAAATTTTTTCTCATGAAGCTACATGTATCATAGGTGCAATAAAAATAAAAGGACATGTGACTTTTTGATAAAATCGGATCAAAAGATCATAAAAATGCAATCACGGCTCCCTTCTCCCCCCCAATGTGTTTTAGAACACTCTTGTTTCTTTTTACTTTAGGAGAATTTGTCCACTTTCAATAATTATTTTTAATCCGAGCAAATGACGTATTGTATATTAACCAACGTCAGCTCGACTAAAACATAATGTGTCAAGCATTCAGCAGGCGAACTCCTACATACACTGTATCATCAACATATCATCAGGCTGTCCTTCGTCACAGAAGATGACCGACTGAGTTGATCGTGCCGGAGGCGTGTCTAAGAGACCAATCCCAGAGACTATCGTACTAAACCGTTAAAGCTTAAAGCAATTCAGAGAGAAACCCATTGGAGATGGGTCGATCCAGTCAGATCGATCTAGGCATGGCAACCCAGTCTCAGACAGGCTCTAATGTGGGCTGTGAGACCCGCTTTGGATCTGCAAAAACGCTGTAATCTATGGCATTAGAAATTGATTGAAATGGATATAGGGTGTCGATGGCCATGTGTACATTGATATTTTTGCTAGTTCTGGTATTTAAAAGCTGACAAAGTTTCCTCAACAGCAAGCCATCTCTCTTTTTTTTAATCAGTTAGTGGACCGAACATTCCGTTGTATGGGTTATTTGGGTCCTCAGTAAAAAAGAATTCGACAAAAGATTGTGCAAACTCGTCAATGGTTATGAAACCATCTTTGTCGGTGTCAACCTGGTCGAATAATTTCTGTGCTTCTTCTTCGGGGATATTTGAGCTATAACACGAAGCATTGTGTTCTTCTCTAGAAATGAGGCCATCGCTATCAAGGTCCACGGCAGTAAAATGCATGGATATATACTTGGGGAAAACCTCCTGTCGGTAGCTTCTCTGATTAAACAGCACTGGGGCCGATTTTAGATATTCTTCCTCTGATACTTTGGAAGCATCTTCTGAACTTTTAGGAATACTTTCCCATACAGCTATACGCTGATTCAGCAAATGCTTTGTCCTCTCATCTAAAAGAAGACAGAATTGTAATGTATCTGAATCTTAAGATATGTTATATGCTTATCTCAAAGGAACGAGAGAGAAACGAATATGTACTGAATGTCACTTGCAGGCTGCAATAATTTATGCTTTGCTCTGTGAGACAATTTTACAAAACTGAAAACTTACAAGAGATGAATGCGATTGCCTATTACACAATTCTTCATTCATCAGTTTGCATTAACCGATAGCCTGCCGTCAAGTTCCAAATACTCTGAACAGCGTTTCGCACTTATCACATAGTCTTCCTTTGTGATGTAGCCGTCGCCGTTTCCATCAAAAACACCTAAAAAATGTGCGCAGCTTCCGTCTCCAGTGATCAGATCCAGTCACCGGTGGATAGTCCACTGGAGCCTGAAAGGAGTTTAAGTACATGGAAACTGGATTTAGAAAAAAAAAAAGATCTTAGAACATTAAATTTAAGAGCGTTATTCTCTGCATTAGAACATGAAATTCAATTTATCCAATTATTTGTGTATTTTAAAGCTCAAAAACACATGCGAATTATCGATAAAAGAAAGTTTAAAATGACGGTTTGTACCAAAGAGATACCGTGCGATCCATCTGCTGGCGTTTCATCATATTTGTATTTATTTGTTTTGACAAGCAACAATGCAGGCGCCTTGCCGTTTATAGTTAATAGATTACATGCGACAAAACCGAAATCGCTTAAAAATTAAAAAATAAATGAATAAATAAAATCTAACTTTAGTTTAGTAGGAACAGTGTCTTTCAAACTTTCTCACCTTTCTGAACTGTATCGCTTGGTTTTTTAATCCCCGTACAGGTAGGTTAAGTGAAGAGATTTTTTGACTCAATCCATGTTGCTCAACTTTACCCAAGCTCTGGGTAGATGACATAAGGCTCGTTAACCATTGACATGGGTTTATGATTTTTAGTAACCCCCCACTTGCCTGGAAAACCTAAGACATGTTGACCACCGTTATGATTGATAAATATGAGTCAAAAATGTCTGTCTTCCTGTTTAAACGCGTGTTATGAAAGACGTACTGTGCTATTCAAACGTTGACAGACTGCATTATATAATATAAACGTGAGTATTACGTACAGCTAACGACAGTGTTACAAGAACCTTTTTTAGGCGTGGTAGCAATTTTGTCAGATCAGAAATTATAAAGTAACATAATTAATGCTCAGCGTTAAAGCGATTCAAGTGTCGACTGTCTTCACTCCTCGTTTAAAAAAGATAGATGTGTAGCGGGCGAGTGGTTAACTGAGCGCCTTTAAATCTAGTGTAAATTAGTTATCATGTCACGTTCTCAGCACGAAGATACCGGTACAACATTGACATAGGTGGTAATCAATGGAATTTAGAAGGAAACAAATTTAGTGAAGATTGATGGCCATTTGTGGCGGCATTTTGATTACTTTGATAAAAAACATTTTTGAAACCATTCTTTTAATTGAAAAATTGCATCAGTTTGGTAAGGCAAAACAATTTTCAATTGCCCTAAAATACTCAAGGCTGTTAATTTTCACTAGAAAAATCGTCAGCATAAAAATTATTTATAATAAAACAGCACACACAGCACCTGGTCCAACATAACTTTTAGCTGCCCATGAAACACATATCAATGATGAAAAACCTAAAAAGAAACCTAGACTACATATATACATACTCTATAAAGATAGCGTGGCCAATATTTAAAAACTTATTAATTTGTTCTGGCCTTATCAAGGGTATTCAGATGTCCAGCCATTTGAATTAGGCGTGGGAGTCAAGATTAAATTGAGATACTTATGTGATAGTGTGCATTGCAAGGCAACATTCATCAAACATGATCATCATCAGTACACGGTCATTTGAAATGAAATCAAGGTAGTCCGATTGACTATTTATTACCTTGAATTGTGCATAAGTGCTCCGGACAGTTGAGCATTCTGCACCACACGTGCCGTGCATATATATATATATATATATATATATATAATACAATGTACACCGTCGACCAAACGAAATCTTACATGCAGTCAGGCCGCATTCATGTATCATTTAACATACGGAGGGAGAGGTCTCTCCGAAAAAGGGTATATATATATATATATATATATATATATATATATATATATATATATATATATATATATGTGTGTGTGTGTGTGTGTGTGTGTGTGTGTGTATGTTTAATGCACGGCGTTTGTGCTATTGCTAATTGTACTATACTGTAGAGTGTGGAAGTGAGTGAGTCCCGACTGACTGTTAAATATGAATGAGAAGGCAGAGAGGCACGACAGGACAGTTAAAAGACGATGCAAGCGAACGACGTTTGTGCAATGCAGCATTTTATTGATGAAATAGCTATAAATGGTACACTGGTTCCCCACCAAAATCTTAGCATTTGTTCCCTGGCCAATTCTGAACTATGCTGAAAATTTCATCACACCCATCCCTATATTTCTGCATAATGTTGCTAATCGAAAGGAAAAATAGGCTCCTTGGAGGATGTAATCACTTAATCAGCCAGTGAACCGAATATATCGTTGTATATGTTATTTGGGTCCTCGGTAAAAAAGAATTCGGCTATTGCATGCCCAAATTCGTCAATTGTTATGAAGCCATCGTTGTTGTTGTCAATCAGATGGAACGCTTTTTGCGACTCCTCGGCAGAGAGGCATAAGCTATAGAAAAAAGCTTTGTACTCCTCACTGGAAATGAGACCATCGCCATTTATGTCAACGATAGTAAAAAAGTTGGACACCGTCGCCGAGAAAAACTTCCGAAAGTGTTTTTGGTTACACAACACTCGAAGCAATTCCACGTATTCTTCCTCCGATACCTTGGAAGCATTTTTTGTAATATATTCCCATTGTCCGATGCGCTGATTTAGAATCTGCTCTGCTCTCTCATCTGAAAAAACGAGCATGGTTATTTCATCCATGTATATGACTGTGCAGTTATCTTTAAATCCGCTATACCCGGTAGGTTGGTCACTTTTTCTGACAATTATTTGTAAAAAAAACAAAAAAAAATTATTTAAAAATGAGAGACAGAGAAAGCACATATATTTTTTCCTTGCTGGGTACAATGTTTTAGTCCATAAAATTGAATTTGCAACAGAAATATACTTTCAATTATTTTTATTATTCAACAATTGGTACCAAATTAGCCTACCATTAAGGTCCGAATACTCGGCACAGCGTCTTGCACTTAACATATAATCTTCTTTTGTGATGTAGCCGTCACCGTTTACATCAAAACACTTGAAATATGTGCGTAATTTCCGTCTCCAGTGATCAGATCCAGTCAACGGCGGGTAATCCATTGGAGTCTGAAAGGTGTACAAATACCAGTGGATGTGTAGATGGTAATCAGATGCAAAAATAGAAATAACGCTTGATACAATTTATATTTAAATGAAAAAATCGTATATCGGTTGATGGAAACTAAAAAATCGCAGTATATTCAAGCATACAGTTTTACATTAAAAACAGAAACACATGGTATATCGATGGCCTCCTGCCGAAACCAAATGGACAGGAACAATTTCTGATCCCAAATATATATACATATATTGGAGTATAAACTGCTTTTGTAGCACTGCCCAGTTCTAATCTTGTTTTAAGTGATATTAATGTTTAACAAAAAATCTCAGCACACATATGTATATATGTTTTGTGAACCGCTTCATTTGCAGTCTTTTTCATTACCTTTTTAAACTCTACCGGTTGGTGTTTTAGTTCTCGGACAGGCAAATAAAGTGGAGAGAATTTTGGAACAAATCCATGCTGCAAAACCTTCTCCAACCGTTTGGTAGTTGACGTAACCCTTGCTAACCCTTGACACATCGGTTGTATAATTCTTATCAGACTCCTACTAGCCTGGAAAACCTTAGACATGGTGACCGCCGTAGAGATCGATGTTCCTGTATCCGTGGCAGAGATGCTCTTTCATTTAAACGTCCCTTAAGAGTCATATAAAAAGGTAGAGCTATATTTAAACATAACCAGGGTGCACGTGTTATATCACGTGATACAATTATGCATCTCATAAAAGTTCGGTTGGTGGAAAATGCAATTGACTCTATGAACAAACCTCCAGGCTGTTAATGTTTTGTTGTATTGAGAAAATTGACCACAACAGTATATAACTACTATTAGATGAGCTGGTTGTACAGAATAACCGAACATGAGGAGTACCCCTGTGTTGGATCTTATTGTGTTTTAAAATCACTATAAATTTTTTGTGTAAGCAGTAAAGTAAGGTGATCCATTTTTTGTTCTCTGTTATGTGCAATTCATGCTTAAAAACAGCGACCAATTTTGTCAGATCGGAAAACATAATGTACCGGTAGTGTTATGTACTTGACATATCAACTGTCTTCAGGCTTTATTAAAAAATATAGATGTAAAGTGGGGTGAGCAGTTCAGTGGGCGCCTTTAAATATCCTATAAATTGGCGACCATGTCATGTTTTCAGCACAAAGATGCCAGTACAACATTGACATGTGCTTTAAAATTTAAATTTGTTTAAATGACTTTGTTAAAATTTTGTTATATTTTGAAATACCTCTATCATTTTAAGTGGGAAAAGAACATATTTTACCTTCATGTTTCAGAAAAGTTCACTGGATCAATCATTCTACTATACAACATTGGTCAAAAAGGTTGTCCCACCCCCAGTTTCATGTGCCTTTATTTATAAATGATCACATCGCAGGGGTTAATTGCTATGAATGGTCATTTTCATTCCAAATACCATAACTAACATGACTAGTGGTACAGAAAATACAAACTAGTGGTTAAGATATCTATATCCAATACCATTTATTCACATTTATTACATGTACCCTCTCAAATCCGATGTTACACTGTCATTTCAACGGAGGTAAAGAAATACCCATTAAATTGAAATGACACATCCAAATGTCACCAAATTTGCACACATTTAGCATTAGTGTTTGCTCGTTAAAGGTCACGTGTCTATTAGCGTGTGTGACTACCGCGCACTGTAATTATCTCTTGTAGACGGCGTCACTGCCTTCAACAAGGGTAACAATTCTGTTTTGTGGGATATTGCCCCATGTTTCCTTAAAAAAGCTTTGCGTTATTGGTCCGGACTATTTGGGGTTTGGTTCTCCTCTGGATTGCACACTTCAATTCATGTCACGGGTGCTCAGTAGGTTTATTATCAGGATTTAAAGATGGTTTCTCCAGCCTCAGACCAATGGGTTTCTGCAACAAATTACTCACCACACGAGAACTGTGTGCAAGTGTACAGTCATGATGAAGCCTGAAACACTCCCGCAGTCCCCTCTTGCAGACAGAATGAGGTATCAGTTGAGAATGTTAGGTTCAGTGACCCCAGAACTACCGGAACCTGGCCAACCATCACTAGGAACAAGTTGGTTTTGTTGAAGAATCAAGGTATTTCTTGTATGCCTTCGATGGTCAAATTAGGGACCGTAGACATGTTGCAAAATGCTTTCTGGAAGTTTTGTGCAGGATAATATCGCCTGAGGTGTCAGGTCAATCCCCGTTTGGAGAGAATGCCAAGCCCATGGTTTTAGTACATTGTTCTTTCCGGAAAAGAACGTTATTGGGGGAATTCACTGAAACGTTCTCAACAAATATCTCACACCATTTGCAAGAGATAACTTCAGGGATACGGCAGGCGTCATCGTGGAAATGCACTTGCTCACAACTCTCGTCTGCTGAGTGATTTGTTGCAGAAACCAATGTTCAGAGGATGGAGCAACCACCTTTTTGCCCTGTTATTAACCTTACTAAACATCTGTGGCATGAATTGAAGTGTGCAATGCCAAGGAGAACCGAACTCCTAATAAGCTTTACCAACTTCCCCAAGCTCTTTAGGAAGAATGAAGCATTATCCCATAAAACAGAATTATTACCCTTGTTGAAGGCAGGCCGCGCCACCTACAGGAGGTAATTTCAGTACGCAGTAAACACAAACGCTATGGACAAGTAGTCTTTAACGAGCGCACCCTAAGCGCACCCGTGTGTAAATTTGGTGACATTTGGTGGTGTCATTTTAATTTAATGGACATTTCTTGACCTCTGTGAAAATCACAGCGAAATGTCGGATTTGAGGTGGTACATGTAATCAATGTGAATAAATGGTATTAAATATTGATATCTTCACCGCTAGTTTATATTTTCTGTATCACTAATCATGTTAGTTATGGTATCTGGAATGAAAATCACTATTTATAACGATCTTCAACTGTGCTGTGATCATTTATAAATAAATGCACATAATACTGAAGGTGGGACAACCTTTTTGACCAATGTTGTATAGTGAATAAAATACTATTATATTCAAGTATGGCCCCCAGGTGCATTATTCGACAGGTGTTCAAGTTATTCCTTTGGTAAATGCAGTATGGGGGATATCGCCTGTTGATACCCTGAATTGGGTCAACTTGCAGTGACCCATCTCCACCGCGTCCATTGTAAGATTGTTTTTAACATGTTCAGACTAACTTACTTATTATAATATGTAACAAATTCAACTAAAATACATTGATTTTACGTCATTAATGATACATTTTGCTTCAAAAGAAAAAAAGTCATTTAATGGATGCTAATAATAATGATTCCAATATACCTCGTATCCAAATATGTACTTTACAGCATTTTTTTAAAATAATTATTTTCTTTGGAACAAAACTATACGGTTTAAAGCAATGTGCATTAAAAGCTCAATAAATCTACCACAGTAGTACAACCCATCCCAAATTCTTGACAAATATTATAATAAGGCTACACTCATCAGATCTTCATGATTGTATAGTAGAAATGACATTCCTGGCTGAACTTGACATTCAGAAGGCATGTATTATATCAAAGCTGACTCATCATTTAAGTCGGTATTTAATCAGTCAATGGTCTGAATATTCCGTTGTAGCCTATGTGTTATTTGGGTCTTCAGTAAAGAAGAATTCGGCAAAAGCATGGGCAATCTCGTCAATTGTTATAACTCCATCTTTGTCTATGTCCAATAGGTCAAATACTTTCTGCGAATCCTTTTCGGAGACGTTAAAGCTATAAGCCAAAGCCTTCTGTTCATCTCTTGAGATCAGACCATCGCTATCAAGGTCCACAGAAGTAAAATGCATGGATATCTGCAAGGGGAAAGACTCGATTCGGCAGCTTCTCTGATTAAACACCATTGGGGCCGATTTAAGACATTCTTCCTCTGATATCTTGGAAGCACCCTCCTTCCTTTTTGAAATTAAATCCCACATAGAAATACGCTGATATAGCATATGCTCTGCTCTCTCATCTAAAATAAGCGAGAAGAGATTTTAAACTGATATATTTTCCTATCCAACTGTAACTATCGTTTAATCCACATTCTGCCAGTCAAAGTTCTATAAAAATAAAGCTGTATTTGAGGCTTTTGATGTGTTATTTATTTATCTTTAAAGTAAAAAGAAAGAAACACGTGCATTGTATAACATCTTTGCGTGTTACAACAATTTACTACATTTATCTCGTGATGATTTTTTCCCATGAAAAAAATTGCAAAATGCAAACATGCAACGGATGCATGTTTCCCTATTTCACAATTTTTAATTCGCCAGTTAGTTCTAACCAGTTAGCCTACCGTTAAGGTCCAAATAGTCGGCAATGCGTTTTGCACTTATCAAGAAGTCTTCTTTTGTAATGTAGCCGGCACCGTTTACATCAAAACACCTAAAACATGTGCGCATCTTCCGTCTCCAGTTTTCAGTTCCAGTGACCGGCGGGTACTCCACTGGAGCCTGGAAAGTGTTCAAGTATGTTGGGAATTGGATTTAGAAAATAGAAATAAGTCTACGTCTCTGCGATTGAAGATTAATATATAGGAACTGTTTGGCACGATCCTTCTCACCTTTCTAAACTGTATCACATGTTTTTTTTTTAGTCCCCGGGCAGGTAAGATGAGCGGAGAAAATTTTGGAACCAACCCATGTTGTACAACCTTTCTCCACCCCTGGGTAGATGACATAAGACTTGTTAACGCTTGACATGGGTGTATGCATGATTCTTAGTAATCCCCTACTAGCTTTGAAAATCATGTTGACAAGCCTCAAGATATACTTCCGAGTCAGAAAAATATCTGTCTTCCCGCTTTAGCGTGTGCAATAAAAGACGTTCTTTACTATTCACACGTCGACGGATTGTATTATGTAAGATGAACGTGAGTATTATGTACAGGGACCGGTAGTGTTACAATGAGGCTACACACGACCGATCCATTGATTTACGAGCACGACTAACCCTAACATAATTTAAACGTATTTGCAACCATTCTTTTAATGGAAAAATTGCGTTGGCTTCAGTTTGGTAAATGGAAAAATTACAATTGACCCTTAAGGCAGTTAAATTTTTCCTAGGAAAATCGACCACATAAAACTATGTACATGTATAAATAAAAGAAAACGCAGTAGTAAAGCAAAGTGATCCATTTTCTGTTCTCTGTTACGTGCAATTCATGCTTAAAAAACAGCGACGAATTTTGTCAGATCGGAAAACATAATGTACCGGTAGTGTTATGTACTTGACAAATCAACTGTCTTCAGGCTTTGTTAAAAAATGATAGATGTAAAGTGGGTTGAGCAGTTCAGTGGGCTCCTTTAAATGTAATATAAATTGGCGACCATGTCACGTTTTCAGCACAAAGATGCCAGTACAACATTGACATGTGCTTTAATATTTAAATTTGTTTAAATGACTTGGTTAAAAATCAGTTATATTTTGAGATACGTACCTCTATCATTTTAAGTGGGAAAAGAACATATTTTACCTTTTATTCACGTTTCAGAAAAGTTTACTGGATCAATCATTCTCCTATATAGTGCATACAATACTATTACATTCAAGTATGGCCCCCAGGTGCATTATTTGAAAGGTGTTCGAGTTATACCTTAAGCATGTGCAGTATGGGTGGGGGTGGGGGGGTATCGCATTTTGATACCCTGAATTGGGCCAACTTGCAATGACCCACCTCCACCACGTCCATTGTGAGATTGTATTGTTATGTTCAGGCTAGGTCTAGTTGGTCTTGCCGCTGGTCTAGTTAACTTACTTATTATAATATTTGGAAACAGCATTGGTATATATGTTTCGTGCCGTTTTAAGAAATAATTATATCTCAGTGAAACATCTCAGCGCACTTAACAACTGTTATCACATTATAAAATCAATAATGACAATAACTTTAATCTAATGAAATCGAAATAAAAGCAAAAAGGCCTAAAATAAGTAGTGTTCTAATAATAGTTTTATTTTTCTCTTGAAGCTACATGTATCAAAGGTGCCGTAAAGATTGAAGGACGTGGTCCTTTTTGAAAAGTTCGGATCATAAGATCATAAAAATGCAATCACAGCTCCTCCCCCCCCCATGTGATTTAGAACACTCCTGTTTCTTTTGACTTAAGAAGAATTTGTCCACTTTATAAATGCTTTTTAATCTGAGCAAATGACGTATTGTGTATCAACCAACGTCAACTCGGCTAAAACATAATGTGTCAAGGATTCAGCAGGCGAGCTGCTACATACACTGTATCATCAACATATCATCAGACTGTCCTTCGTCACCGAAGATGTCTGACTGAGTTGATTGAGTCTGAGGCGTGTCTCAGACAGGCTCTAAGACTTGGTTTTTATCCCTAGACCGATCTTACAGGATCAGTCCCTCTCCAAGGGGTCCCTCGCTAAATTGCTTTCAGCTTAAGTGGCTTAGATGTCTGGGACGCCCACTAAAGTTGCTAAATGATAGTTAATTACACCCTATCAGCCTCAGCAGACGTGACAGACATCTAAGACGCCCAATCAAATTGCAATCAAGCGAGAATCCCCTCGAAGAGTTCGATCCAAATTTGGTACGTAAGGGTCTGGGAATGGTCTCTAATGTGGGCTGTAAGACCCGCTTGGAATCTGCAAAAACGCTGACATCCCAGCAGGCAAACGACATTGATTTTACGTTGATTCAACGTTGATCCACCAAAATTAACATTGATTCAACGGTGAATCAATGTCGTTTGTCTGCTGGGATGTGTTGCATTAGAAATTGATTCAGCTGGATGTTAAATGTCGAAGATCATGTGTACGTTGGTGCTGATCTTTAAAGGTTGACAAAGTTTCATCAAAAACAAGCCGTCTCTCTTTGTATTTTAATCAGCCAGTGGTCCGAATATTCCACTGTATGTGTTATTTGGGTCCTCGGTAAAAAAGAATTCGGCAAAAGATTGTGCAAATTCGTCAATGGTTATGAAACCATCTTTGTCGGTGTCAACCAGGTCGAATAATTTCTGTGCTTCTTCTTCGGGGATGTTTGAGCTATAACACGAAACCTTGTATTCTTCTCTAGAAATGAGGCCATCGCTATCAAGATCCACAGCAGTAAATTGCATAGACAAATGCCTGGGGAAAACCTCCTGTCGGTAGCTTCTCTGATTAAACAGCACTATTGCCGATTTTAGACATTCTTCCTCTGATACTTTGGAAGTATCTTCTGAACTTTTAGAAATGCTTTCCCATACAGCAACACGCTGATTCAGCAAATGCTCTGCCCTCTCATCTAAAAGAAGCCAGAATTGTATTGTATATGAATCTTAAGATATAATATGTTATATGAATCTTTAAAATGCTTTATATGCTTTTCTCAAAGGAACAAGAGAGAATCGAATATGAACTGAATGTCAATTGTACGTAGCGATAATTTATGCTTTACTCTGTGAGACCATGTTGCAAAATGAAAACTTACAATAGATGAATGCGATTGCCTATTACACAATTCTTCATTTACCAGTTTGCTTTAACCAATAGCCTACCGTCAAGGTCCAAATACTCTGCACAGCGTTTCGCACTTATCACATAGTCTTCCTTTGTGATGTAGCCGTCGCCGTTTACATCCAAACTCCTGAAAAGTGTGCGCAGCTTCCGTCTCCAGTGATCAGATCCAGTCACCGGTGGATAGTCCACTGGAGCCTGAAAGGAGTTTAAGTACATTGAAACTGGACATATCCAGAGTCCTAAATTGAAAAGCGTTGTAATCTGCATTGGAACATGATACTCACTCCCCATGTACCAAAACCGAATCCCAATTTTTTCAATGTTTTTTGTGTATTTAAAGGTCAAAAACACACGCGGTATATCGATAAAAGCAAGTTAAAATGACAGTTTGTACCAAAGAGATACCGTAGGCTACGATCCATCTGCTGACTTTTCATCATATTTGTATTGACAAGCAAAAATGCAGTCGCCTTGTCGTTTATATTAAAACAGAATACATGCTACAAAACCGAAATCAATCCCAATAAAAAGAACATTCCTCGGATCTAATCTTGTTTATAAATAAAATGTCAAGTTATTTAAGTAACAAACTGCTGCCAATATATTATACCCTTTGGTATTCATTTAGAGAAGGAACAGCGTGTCTTTCAATCTTTCTCACCTTTCTAAACTGTATCGCTTGGTTTTTTAAACCCCGTGCAGAAAGGATAAGTGAAGAGATTATTGGACCTAATCCATGTTGCTCAACTTTACCAAATCTCTGGGGAGATGACATAACTCTCGTTAACCTCTGACATGGGTTTATGATTTTTAGTAATCCCCCACTTGCCTGGAAAACCTTAGACATGCTGACCACCTTTATGATTGATAAAATGTCTGCCTTCCTTTTTAAACGCGTGTTATGGAAGACGTACTGTGTTATTCAAAAGTTGACAGACTGCATGGTATAAGATAAACGTAAGTATTACGTACAGCTAAGGACAGTATTACTAGAACATTCTTTTTAGGCGTGGGACCAATATTGTCAGATCAGAAAATATATAGTAACAGAATGCTCAGCGTTAAAGCGATTCAAGTATCGACTGTCTTCGCTCCTCGTTTAAAAAAAGATAGATGTGTAGCGGGTGAGTGGTTCACTGAGCGTCTTTAAATATAGTATAAATTAGTTATCATGTCACGTTCTCAGCACAAAGATACTAGTACAACATTGGCATGTGTGGTAATCAATGACATTAAGAAAGAAACAAGTATAGTAAAGATTGATGGCCATTTGTTGTGCATTTTGATTACTTTGATAAAAACATTTTAAAACCATCATTTAAAATTAAAAAATTGCATCAGTTTGGTAAAAATATTTCAATTGCCCTAAAAAACTCAAGGCTGTTAATTTTTGCTAGAACAGTTAACGAAATTGGTGTAATTTATAAATAAAACAGACCGACTGGTTGAATATAACTTTTAGCTGCCATAAAACACATGTACACACACTGGACAATAGAAGTGTCACCCCTACTGAACCAATACTATGGGGGAGATAAATGACAGTGGAATGATATGCTCCTGGTATCATTTTATTAACATCAACTTTCACAAAAAATCATAAAATGAGAACAAAATATGAACATTCTACCAAAATATGCAGTTCAAGTCCAAAATTAGTACTTAGTGGCATAGCCACGTGATCTAATAATAGGTGCCAGTCTACGAGGCAAGGATTCATATAATTGTCTGATGCGTTAAGGGCTTATGCTGGCCCAAGTATGAAACACTGAAGATAACAGAGTTTCTCTGCTGGTTAGACGGGCATTTGTCAAAAGTTTTGACATATTATTCCACACATTTTCTATTATGTTTGCATCTGGACTCTGGGTAGGCCACATCACCCTGCGAATGTCCTGTTGGTCAAACCAATCATNAGTGATCAGATCCAGTCAACGGCGGGTAATCCATTGGAGTCTGAAAGGTGTACAAATACCAGTGGATGTGTAGATGGTAATCAGATGCAAAAATAGAAGTAACGCTTGATACAATTTATATTTAAATGAAAAAATCGTATATCGGTTGATGGAAAGCAAAAAATCGCAGTATATTCAAGCATACAGTTTTACATTAAAAACAGAAACACATGGTATATCGATGGCCTCCTGCCGAAACCAAATGGACAGGAACAATTTCTGATCCCAAATATATATACATATATTGGATTATAAACTGCTTTTGTAGCACTGCCCAGTTCTAATCTTGTTTTAAGTGATATTAATGTTTAACAAAAGATCTCAGCACACATATGTATATATGTTTTGTGAACCGCTTCATTTGCAGTCTTTTTCATTACCTTTTTAAACTCTACCGGTTGGTGTTTTAGTCCTCGGACAGGCAAACAAAGTGGAGAGAATTTTGGAACAAATCCATGCTGCAAAACCTTCTCCAACCGTTTGGTTGTTGACGTAACCCTTGCTAACCCTTGACACATCGGTTGTATAATTCTTATGAGACTCCTACTAGCCTGGAAAACCTTAGACATGGTGACCGCCGTAGAGATCGATGTTCCTGTATCCGTGGCAGAGATGCTCTTTCATTTAAACGTCCCTTAAGAGTCATATAAAAAGGTAGAGCTATATTTAAACATTACCAGGGTGCACGTGTTATATCACGTGATACAATTATGCATCTCATAAAAGTTCGGTTGGTGGAAAATGCAATTGACTCTATGAACAAACCTCCGGGCTGTTAATGTTTTGTTGTATTGAGAAAATTGACCACATTCAGAGTAGTTAATACAGTACATAACCACACAATTAGATGAGCTGGTTGTACAGAATAACCGAACATGAGGAGTACCACTGTGTTGGATCTTATTGTGTTTTAAAATCACTATAAATTTTTTGTGTAAGCAGTAAAGTAAGTTGATCCATTTTTTGTTCTCTGTTATGTGCAATTCATGCTTAAAAACAGCGACCAATTTTGTCAGATCGGAAAACATAATGTACCGGTAGTGTTATGTACTTGACATATCAACTGTCTTCAGGCTTTATTAAAAAAATATAGATGTAAAGTGGGGTGAGCAGTTCAGTGGGCACCTTTAAATATCCTATAAATTGGCGACCATGTCATGTTTTCAGCACAAAGATGCCAGTACAACATTGACATGTGCTTTAAAATTTTAATTTGTTTAAATGACTTGGTTAAAATTTTGTTATATTTTGTGATACCTCTATCATTTTAAGTGGGAAAAGAACATATTTTACCTTCATGTTTCAGAAAAGTTCACCGGATCAATCATTCTACTATACAACATTGGTCAACAAGGTTGTCCCACCCCCAGTTTCACGTGCCTTTATTTATAAATGATCACATCGCAGGGGTTAATTGCTATGAATGGTGATTTTCATTCCAGATACCATAACTAACATGACTAGTGGTACAGAAAATACAAACTGGTGGTTAAGATATCTATATCCAATACCATTTATTCACATTTATTACATGTACCCTCTCAAATCCGATGTTACACTGTCATTTCAACGGAGGTAAAGAAATACCCATTAAATTGAAATGACACATCCAAATGTCACCAAATTTACACACATTTAGCATTAGGGTTTGCTCGTTAAAGGTCACGTGTCTATTAGCGTGTGTGGCTACCGCGCACTGTAATTATCTCTTGTAGACGGCGTCACTGCCTTCAACAAGGGTAACAATTCTGTTTTGTGGGATATTGCCCCATGTTTCCTAAAAAAAGCTTTGCGTAATTGGTCCGCACTATTTGGGGTTTGGTTCTCCTCTGGATTGCACACTTCAATTCATGTCACGGGTGCTCATTAGGTTTATTATCAGGATTTAAAGATGGTTTCTCCAGCCTCAGAACAATGGGTTTCTGCAACAAATTACTCACCACACGAGAACTGTGTGCAAGTGTACAGTCATGATGAAGCCTGAAACACTCCCGCAGTCCCCTCTTGCAGACAGAATGAGGTATCAGTTGAGAATGTTAGGTTCAGTGACCCCAGAACTACCGGAACTTGGTCAACCATCACTAGGAACAAGTTGGTTTTGCTGAAGAATTAAGGTATTTCTTGTATGCCTTCGATGGTCAAATTAGGGACCGTAGACATGTTGCAAAATGCTTTCTGGAAGATTTGTGCAGGATAATATCGCCTGAGGTGTCAGGTCAATCCCCGTTTGGAGAGAATGCCAAGCCCATGGTTTTAGTGCATTGTTCTTTCCGGAAAAGAACGTTTTTGGGGGAATTCACTGAAACGTTCTCAACAAATATCTCACACCATTTGCAAGAGATGACTTCAGGGATACGGCAGGCGTCATCGTGGAAATGCACTTGCTCACAACTCTCGTCTGCTGAGTGATTTGTTGCAGAAACCAATGTTCAGAGGATGGAGCAACCACCTTTTTGCCCTGTTATTAACCTTACTAAACATCTGTGGCATGAATTGAAGTGTGCAATGCCAAGGAGAACCAAACTCCTAATAAGCTTTACCAACTTCCCCAAGATCTTTAGGAAGAATGGGGCATTATCCCATAAAACAGAATTGTTACCATTGTTGAAGGCAGGCCGCACCACCTACAGGAGGTAATTTCAGTACGCAGTAAACACAAACGCTAATAGACAAGTAGTCTTGAACGAGCGCACCCTAATGCTAAACGTGTGTAAATTTGGTGACATTTGGTGGTGTCATTTTAATTTAATGGACATTTCTTGACCTCTGTGAAAATCACAGTGAAATGTCGGATTTGAGGGGGTACATGTAATAAATGTGAATAAATGGTATTAAATATTGATATCTTCACCGCTAGTTTATATTTTCTGTATCACTAATCATGTTAGTTATGGTTTCTGGAATGAAAATTACTATTTATAACGATCTTCAACTGTGCTGTGATCATTTATAAATAAATGCACATAATACTGAAGGTGGGACAACCTTTTTGACCAATGTTGTATAGTGAATAAAATACTATTGTATTCAAGTATGGCCCCCAGGTGCATTATTCGACAGGTGTTCAAGTTATTCCTTTGGTAAATGCAGTATGGGGGATATCGCCTGTTGATAGCCTGAATTGGGTCAACTTGCAGTGACCCATCTCCACCGCGTCCATTGTAAGATTGTTTTTAACATGTTCAGACTAACTTACCTATTATAATATGTAACAAATTCAACTAAAATACATTGGTTTTACGTCATTAATGATACATTTTGCTTCAAAAGAAAAAAGTCATTTAATGGATGCTAATAATAATGATTCCAATATACCTCGTCTCCAAATATGTACTTTACAGCATTTTTTAAAAATAATTATTTTCATTGGAACAAAGCTATACGGTTTAAAGCAAAGTGCATTAAAAGCTCAATAAATCTACCACAGTAGTACAACCCATCCCAAATTCTTGACAAATATTATAATAAGGCTACACTCATCAGATTATCTTCATGATCGTATAGTAGAAATGACATTCCTGGTTGAACTTGACATTCACAAGGCATGTATTATATCAAAGCTGACTCATCATTTAAGTCGGTATTTAATCAGTCAATGGTCCGAATATTCCGTTGTATGTGTTATTTGGGTCTTCAGTAAAGAAGAATTCGGCAAAAGCATGGGCAATCTCGTCAATTGTTATAAATCCATCTTTGTCTATGTCCAATAGGTCAAATACTTTCTGCAAATCTTTTTCGGAGACGTTAAAGCTATAAGCCAAAGCCTTCTGTTCATCTCTTGAGATCAGACCATCGCTATCAAGGTCCACAGCAGTAAAATGCATGGATGCATGCAAGGGGAAAGACTCGTGTCGGTAGCTTCTCTGATTAATCACCATTGGGGCCGATTTAAGATATTCTTCCTCTGATATCTTGGAAGCACCCTCCTTCCTTTTTGAAATTGAATTCCACATAGCAATACGCTGATTCAGCATATGCTCTGCTCTCTCATCTAAAATAAGCGAGAAGAGATTTTAAACTGATATATTTTCCTATCCAACTGTAACTATCGTTTAATCCACATTCTGCCAGTCAAAGTTCTATAAAAATAAAGCTGTATTTGAGGCTTTTGATGTGTTATTTATTTATCTTTAAAGTAAAAAGAAAGAAACACGTGCATTCTATAACATCTTTGCGTGTTACAACAATTGACTACATTTATCTCGTGATGATTTTTTCCCATGAAAAAAATTGCAAAATGCAAACAAGCAAAGGATGCATGTTTCCCTATTTCACAATTTTTAATTCGCCAGTTAGTTCTAACCAGTCGGCAATGCGTTTTGCACTTATCACGAAGTCTTCTTTTGTAATGTAGCCGGCACCGTTTACATCAAAACACCTGAAACATGTGCGCATCTTCCGTCTCCAGTTTTCAGATTCAGTCACCGTTGGGTAGTCCAGTGGTGCCTGGAAAGTGGTCAAGTATGTTGGGAGTTGGATTTAGAAAATAGAAATAAGTCTACGTCTCTGCGATTGAAGATTAATATATAGGAACTGTTTGGCACGATCCTTCTTACCTTTCTAAACTGTATCACATGTTTTTTTAGTCCCCGGGCAGGTAAGATGAGCGGAGAAAATTTTGGAACCAACCCATGTTGCACAACCTTTCTCCACCTCTGGGTAGATGACATAAGACTTATTAACTCTTGACATGGGTGTATGATTCTTAGTAATCCCCTACTAGCTTTGAAAATCATGTTGACAAGACTCAAGATATACTTCCGAGTCAGAAAAATATCTGTCTTCCCGCTTTAGCGTGTGCAATAAAAGACGTTCTTTACTATTCACACGTCGACGGATTGTATTATGTAAGATGAACGTGAGTATTATGTACAGGGACCGGTAGTGTTACAATGAGGCTACACACGACCGATCCATTGATTAACGAGCACGACTAACCCTAACATAATTAAAACGTATTTGCAACCATTCTTTTAATGGAAAAATTGCGTTGGCTTCAGTTTGGTAAGTGGAAAAATTACAATTGACCCTTAAGGCAGTTAAATTTTTCCTAGGAAAATCGACCACATAAAACTATGTACATGTATAAATAAAAGAAAACGCAGTAGTAAAGCAAAGTGATCCATTTTCTGTTCTCTGTTACGTGCAATTCATGCTTAAAAAACAGCGACGAATTTTATCAGATCGGAAAACATAATGTACCGTTAGTGTTATGTACTTGACATATCAACTGTCTTCAGGCTTTGTTAAAAAATGATAGATGTAAAGTGGGGTGAGCAATTCAGTGGGCGCCTTTAAATATAATATAAATTGGCGACCATGTCACGTTTCCAGCACAAAGATGCCAGTACAACATTGACATGTGCTTTAATATTTAAATTTGTTTAAATGACTTGGTTAAAAATCTGTTATATTTTGAGATGCCTCTATCATTTTACGTGGGAAAAGAACGTATTTTACCTTTTATTCACGTTTCAGAAAAGTTCACTGGATCAATCATTCTCCTATATAGGGAATACAATACAATTACATCCAAGTATGGCCCCCAGATGCATTATTTGAAAGGTATTCGAGTTATATACCTTAAGCATGTGCAGTATGGGGGGGGGGAGGGGGTATCGCATTTTGATACCCTGGATTGGGGCAACTTGCAGTGACCCACCTCCACCGAGTCCATTTATTGTGAGATTGTTTTGACGTGTTCAGACAAGGGCTAGTTAGTCTTGTCGCTGGTCTAGCTAACTTACTTATTACAATATTTGTAAACAGCATTTGCATATATATTCCGTGCCGTTTTAAGAAATAATACATCTCAATGAAACATCTCAGCGCTCTCGACAAATATTATCACAATATAAAATCAAGAACTACAAAAATTTATAACTAATGAAATCGAAAGCGGAAAGGGACACTAATAAGTAATGTTCTTATAATATTTTTATTTTTCTCTTGAAGCTACATGTAACATAGGTGCCGTAAACATTAAAAGGACATGGGCCTTTTTGATAAAATCGGATCAAAAGATCATAAAAATGCAATCACGCCCCTCCCCCCACCCCTATGTGTTTTAGAACATTCTTGTTTCTTTTTCACTTTAGGGGAATTTGTCCTTTAAAAATTATTTGAATCTGAGCAATTTACGTATTATATATCAACCCAAAGTCAACTCGAGTAAAACATATTGTGTCAAGATATCAGCAGGCGAGCGCCTTCATGTACATATCAACATATCATCAGGCTGTCCTTCGTTACTGAAGATAACTGACTGAGTTGATCAAGCTAGAGGCGTGTCTCAGAGACCAATCCCAGAGACTACCGTACTACCTTTGGATCGATCTCTCTCCAAAGGGATTCTCACTAAATTGCTATCAACTTAACCGCTTAGATGTCTCGCACGCCCACTGAAGCAGTTAGAGGGTAATTAACTATCGCTTAGAGGCTTCAGTGGGCGTGTCAGACATCTAGGCCGTTAAAGCTGAAAGCAATTTAGGGAGGAACCCAATGGAGATGGGTCGATCCAGTTAGATCGATCTAGGCAGGGGAACCCAGTCTCAGACAGGCTCTAATGTGGGCTGTGAGACCCACTGCCATCTGCTGCATTAGAAATAGATTGAACTGGATATAGGGTGTCGATGGCCATGTGCACATTGGTATTTTTGCTGGCTCTGGTATTTAAAGGCTGACAAAGTTTCCTCAACAGCAAGCCATCTCTCTTTGTATTTAATCAGCCAGTGGGCCGAACATTCCGCTGTATGTGTTATGTGGGTCCTCGGTAAAAAAGAATTCGGTAAAAGATTGTGCAAACTCGTCAATGGTTATGAAACCATCTTTGTCAGGGTCAAGCAGGTCGAATAATTTCTGTGCTTCTTCTTCGGGGATGTTTGAGCTATAACACGAAGCACTGTGTTCTTCTCTAGAAATGAGGCCATCGCTATCAAGGTCCACGGCAGTAAAATGCATGGATATTTGCTTGGGGAAAACCTCCTGTCGGTAGCTTCTCTGATTACACAGCACTATTGCCGATCTTAGACATTCTTCCTCTGATATTTTGGAAGTATCTTCTGAACTTTTAGAAATACTTTCCCATACAGCAACACGCTGATTCAGCAAATACTCTGCCCTCTCATCTAAAAAAAGCCAGAATTGTATTGTATATGAATCTTAAGATATAATATGTTATTTGAATCTTTAAAATATGTTACATGTATATGCTTTTCTCAAAGGAACGAGAGAGAATCGAATATGTACTGAATGTCAATTGTACGTAGCGATAATTTATGCTTTGCTCTGTGAGACCATGCTGCAAAATGAAAACTTACAACAGATGAATGTGATTGCCTATTACACCATTCTTCATTCATCAGTTTGCTTTAACCAATAGCCTACCGTCAAGGTCCAAATACTCTGCACAGCGTTTCGCACTTATCACATAGTCTTCCTTTGTGATGTAGCCGTCGCCGTTTACATCCAAACTCCTGAAAAGTGTGCGCATCTTCCGTCTCCAGTGATCAGATCCAGTCACCGGCGGGTAGTCCACTGGAGCCTGAAAGGAGTTCAAGTACATGGAAACTGGATTTAGAAAAAAATATCTTAGAGCCTTAAATTGAAGAGTGTTGTAATCTGCAATAAAACTTGATACTCTCTATGTATCAGAAACGAAATTCAATTTCATCAATTTTTTGTGTATAATTTAAAGCTCAGAAACACACGTGGTATATCGATAAAAGCAAGTAAAATTGAGATACCGTACGATACCTCTGCTGACTTCATCATATTTGTATTGACAAGCAACCATACATGCAGTCGCCTTGTCGTTTATTTTAAAACAGAATACATGCTACAAAACCGAAATTAATTCCAATAAACAGAATAACAGAATACCTCGGATCTAATCTTGTTTATTAATAAAATCGCACGTTATTTAAAACCTCGGTCACCGGCCGTACGGGCTCTTACGGGCTGTTTGCGTCCAAATTTTGCGCAGAATCTCACTTCCCACGCAAGTCCTTCTTAAAGTCTCTCTTACAACCCGTCGTGCGTGCTTAGAGATCGTGCGTCCTCGTAGTTCTTGTCAGACGTAGCGTTGTCGCAGGATGAAAATTAAATCGCAGCGGACGAAGTAGTAAGTACTTTATGAGTAGGTGTGTTGTGCTCTAAACGTGGGGCCCGCAAGTGGTCTGTACGCCTTTTTTGGAAGTAGGAAGAAGTAAGGAGCACGTACGATCTGTACTTGTGTCGCACACAGTGAGTGAGATAATCATACGTGTATTGCAAGTGAAGCGTACGTTTTCAGAAATCGTACTTACGAGGTAAGAGAAACGTAAGAGAAACGTAATAAGCACGGAAGTGGAACGCACGGATAATCAAAATAAAATAAAAGGGAGCACCGAGTCTCTTCATCATTTACTGTTTTGGCTTCCAAAATGGCACTTCCAAGAAGGATGCGTACTTCTACAGCTGCTAATGCTAGAGGAGGCCGAAGATCGTGACGAAATTCTGGCAGTGGTTGCTCGGGATCGCCTGCACTTTTATCGTGCTGGGCACGTGCGTCGTCTTAGTGTGACGCACTTCACAAGTATGGTAGTAGTACTCGCCACGCACTTTGGAAGTAAGATAAACGCACGGAGGAAGTGCGCTCACCCCCCTTTTTGTTAACACGTACATTGAAAGCAAGTTGAACGTACGAGTCTCTTGCGTGGTAAGTAGGCCTACGTCTTCGTGGTAAAATACCCCGGAATTTCTGCATGCTTTTCCTGCGTTACACGCACGCCTAGCGCACTTACTCAGTACTTTTGTCTTGCGTGCTACGAGCGTGCTCCAGGCGTTCTAATTGTCGCAGACAGGTCGTAGCGAAAAACTGGCCGGCCAGTTTTCGGGCTGCGTGCTTTGCGTCGTGTTTGCGTCCACCAAAAACAGTACGTTAAACGTGCGTGTATCTTACTACTTGGCCAATTTTTTTGCACGCAAACCGCTCGTAGAAGCACGCACGACCGGTTGTAAGAGTAGCTTAAGCCTACGTCCCATCTACGCTTTGGAGCACGGTTTTTAGGTTCCTTGCGTCCGACTAGGACGTAGCTAGATCGCACGTAACGGCTGTTGATCATGTCGAAAAGTTAAGCCTAGGTCCCATGTACGTTTTGGACGCACGGTTTTTAGGTTCCTTGCGTCCGGCTAGGACGTAGCTAGATCGCACGTAGCGGCTGTTGATCATGTCGTAAAGTTTCTACGTGCTGTTTGCGTCCTCCAAAAGTCGCACGATGGACGTGCTCCTCACGCACGAACTCCCACGTTTTCCCCATTTTTTTGGCCGTAGACACACGTAGCAGCCGTACGTTCGGTTGGGACCTAGGCTTTACTTGATTCCCTGCGATCTAGCTACGTCCTAGACAGACGAAAGAAACCTAAAAACCGTGCGTCCAAAATGTACTTGGGATCTAGGCTTTACGAAATTTGGGGTTCGCAGACAGCCCGTAAGCACATGCGGAGGATGTTGAACATGTCCAAAAGATTCTACGAATAGCCTGCGAACAGCGAGACTGCAAGCGTAACTTGCTCCCCTCGCACGGAGTTAGCAAGAGGGACGCGCGTTGTGCAAGACGCACGTCGCAAGCTATGAAGGAGCAAGTGCCCTTTGCGTGCTGAGTAAGGCGCACGCCCTCACAACTAACGAATGAAGTCGAGGGCACACCGAGAATGCGTCGCACGTGCGTCACCCCCACGCCTGGTGTATAAAAGGCTTACTCACGATGTACGCTCGTGTCTTTACAATGAACGTCGACTGTGTAACGTGTACAACAATTTTCAAAATTTTCACATTTTTGCTCAATTTAGTTTCTAATATTCCTCCAAAAGGCAAGAGAAAGAAGCAAGTAGAAAAAGGGAGGGGGAAGAAGAAAGAAGAGGAGAACAGGAAGCAAAACTGACGTACGCCGTCAGCACGTCACCACAAACGTGTGAGGCAAGTGTGAAGCAAAACTGACGCAAAAGGGCACTACTTTCTCCGCGCGTTGCACTCCCTTCGTACAATGTAAGTAGTGAGTGTGTGCCACGTACACAGGAAGCAAGACAAACTCAAGAAATGAGTACAATTTCCACGGCCATCCCTCTTTGCAATTAGTGTCCCTGCTTGAAAGGACATCTCATGTGGTCCTTGCGACTCGCAAGGCAGACTTTCCTCTACCTCTACGACCTCCACGGCCTCCGCAACACCCAAAAATCGTAGGGGACGTACGATCCTGAAATTCGTGCGTCCGGTTGTGACCGAGGCTGAAGTAACAAACTTCTTCTAATATATTATATCCTTTGGTATTCATTTAGAGTAGGAACAGCGTGTCTTTCAATCTTTCTCACCTTTCTAAACTGTATCGCTTGGTTTTTTAATCCCCGTACAGGTAGGTTAAGTGAAGAGATTATTGGACCTAATCCATGCTGCTCAAATTTATCTAATCTCTGGGAAGATGACATAACGCTCGTTAACCTTTGACATCGGTTTATGATTTTTAGTAACCCCCCACTTGCTTGGAAAACCTTAGACATGTTGACCACCGTTATGATTGATAAATATGAACAAAATATGCCTGTCTTCCTGTTTATAAAAGACGTACTGTGCTATTCAAAAGTTGACAGACTGCATTATATAATATAAACGTGAGTATTACGTACAGCTAACGACAGTGTTACTAGAACATTTTTTTAGGCGTGGGACCAATTTTGTCAGATCAGAAATTATAAAGTAACATAATGCTCAGCGTTAAAGCGATTCAAGTATCGACTGTCTTCACTCCTCGTTTCAAAAAAAAAGATAGATGTGTAGCGGGTGAGTGGTTCACTGAGCGTCTTTAAATACAGTATAAATTAGTTATCATGTCACGTTCTCAGCACAAAGATACCAGTACAACATTGGCATGTGTGGTAATCAATGACATTTAGAAAGAAACAAGTATAGTAAAGATTGATAGCCATTTGTTGTGCATTTTGATTACTTTGATAAAAACATTTTAAAACCATCATTAAAATTAAGAAATTGCATCAGTTTGGTAAAAATATTTCAATTGCCCTAAAAAACTCAAGGCTGTTAATTTTTGCTGGAACAGTTAATGAAATTGGTGTAATTTATAAATAAAAAAGACCGACTGGTTGAATATAACTTTTAGATCCCATAAAACACATGAAAAAATAAAAAAAAACCAAAAGAAATCTAGTCTATATACTTACTGTATTAATAGAGAGTCGCCACTACTTAAAAACTTATCAACTTGTTCTGGCCTTATCAATGATATCCATGCAGTCATTGGATTTATGCCTTGGATTGAAGATAAAATTGAGCAGAGATACTGATGTGATAGTGTAGATTGCAAGGCGAGATTTATCAGCAACAATTATCATCAGGACACAGTCATTTTATATGATATCAAGGTAGTCTGATTGACTTTTCAAATATAGTTTAAAAAGCCATCTTTGTAGAAAGAAATGATCAATTTTGTTAAATCGAAAATTATACAGTCACACTGTGCGCAGCGTGTGAAAGATTGACGTATTAAAAGAACTGCCAATTCACTGTTTGTTAAAACGACAGATGGGTAGCTGGCGAGCGGTTCACTGAGCATCCTTAACAACAGCTTCACAACCTTGTCACGTAATCAGCAAAAAGGGTAACTGTTTAACAATAACATGCCCCTTAGTCTGCATGCATCCTTCTAAGATATAACAAATACTAAATAATGTGGTTATTTGTGGCACCCGATGATTTCTACTGTCACGATGTTCATCGTGTGTTGTTTTCCAATAGTTTCCCTGTTACAAAATGATGCCATTTATATTACTGTAAAAAAGAAATATTTAAAATGAGTTTGAAAGGAAATATAAAGAAAGTGGCGTGCGTGCTATTCTGTGTACTTTAAAATGTATTTAACAGTAAATATTGAAGGTCATTTGTGGCACCCTAGGTTGTTTTATCTCACAATGGTCATCGTGAGCTGTTTTCCACTCATTTCATTCCTACAATGTATAGGCATCTACCAGTACATCACAAAAACGGATAAAAAATTATAATATAATATAATATAATATAATATAATATAATATAATATAATATAATATAATATAATATAATATAGACTATCATCCAGGGTCTCTTCAAAGTTAGATCATACAGTTAGATCACATTAAATACCATACAGTTAGATCACATTAAACTTACACGATTGCCGATGAAACATTGAGTATATCATGTAATCTAGTCTCTTTAATATTATCATTCAATCAATTAATTGTGACGCAATTTCTTATCCTAATTGTTGACGATCAAGAGAAGCATCTTTCTTTCTTTGCTGATTTCATTTTAGAAGACTGAATCTAAAGTACGTTGTTTTAAACAACGCAAAAACGAAAAATTTAATCAGCCAGTTTACCAAATAACACGTCGTATATGTTATTCGGGTCCTCGGTTAAAAAGAATTCTGTCCAAGCATGTGCAAATTCGTCAATGGATATCAAACCATCCTTGTTCGTGTCCATCACGTCATATATTTTTTTCGACTCATCCACAGGGATGTGTAAGCCATAGAAAAAAGCTTTATGTTCTTCGTTGGATATGAGTCCATCGCCATCAATGTCCATGGCATCAAAATCCATTGATATCACCATGGGTAGAAACTCCTGTCGAAAGCTGTTTCGGTTGAACACCGGTGGAGCGGAATTGATATATTCTTCCTCTGATACCTTAGAAGGATCTTCTGTACCCTTAGGAATAATTTCCCACATTGCCATACGCTGGTTCAAAATGTGTTGTGCTCTCTCATCTAAAACAAACGAGGAACACTTCAGGATACACTGACGGATTTAGGGGGGAGTCAGGGGGGGTCCTGACTCCCCTCTCCCTTTCGTTCACCCTCTAAAATACCCTTCATCAGGCCCCGACACCCACGCCAACTGTGTGTGTGTAGGGGGGGGGGGACTTCTCATCCGCGCACCCTCCCTTCAAATAATCCTGGATACGTCCCTGGGCTAAAGTATCCATTCACATCCTTAACTTATCGTGAGATACCTAATTATACGGTAGTTTTGCACAAAGACTGCATTTGTACCTGTTCGATTTTCCGTGCGTTTATTTAAGTTTAGAGGTAGGAAGTAAGAAGGGAGTACATTCAGACTTTCCTTGCGATTACATGTTTCAATAATTCATTATTGTTAACTGAATATGCTAGTTTCCACCATTTGAAGCCTACCCCAAAAATGTTATTACAGATGAATGTTTTAGTTTTAATCACAAGTGAATTTTAATCATTAAGCCTACCATTAAGGTTCAAAAACTGGGCACAACGTCTTGCTGTTATAGCGTAGTCTTCTTTTGTAATATAGCCGTCAGAGTTAGCGTCCAAACATCTGAAAGTCGTGCGCATCTTCCGTCTCCAGTGATGAGCTCCAGTCAGCAGTGGGTACTCCATAGGGTCCTAAAATGCATAAGCACACGTTTATGGTAAATTTACAATCACACCAAGAAGGTTTATCTAACTGCTTAGCTAGGATATTTTATGAATAATTTAACTAGTGCATCTGTTCATTATATAAAGATACCGGTATATATATTTTCATTCACAAACTGGCAACACAATTACGAGCTAGAGAAATGGTAATGCACCATTTCTCATTGTATTGTCGTTATTATATTATATTATATTATATTATATTATATTATATTATATTATATTATATTATATTATATTATATTATATTGCACAACGACATGGTAATCTATGTACCAGTACAGAAACAAATGGAATTGAAAATAGAATATGTAAATGAGATTCGGAAAAATGAAATTTTGCCCGGCATATTCAGTTAAAATATATACAGCGGTGAATGGATCCTCCGTGGACACCTCTCAAACTCCTATTCTTCTGGTGTTTTGTCTTAAAATTTCAAGTTGGAAACAGACATGCGCAGATGACCAATGAAACAAAAATGCACTGGAATGCGTATATGTTAACAAACCTGATCACAAATGACATCAGTTCGTGTAGTGTATATTTGGTGTGAGGATTATTTTTGTCCGACTCACCTTTTTAAACTGTATCGTTTGAATCGTAAGTGTCCGGACAGGTAAACTAAGAAGAGACATTTTCGAAACTAGTCCTTTTTGCACACCCTTCCCTACCGTCTGGCTAACCGGTATAACTCTGGCTAAGCCATGACAGGTTTGGGAAATCTTCAGCAATCGTCTACTAGCCTGAAAAACCTTGGACATGTTGGCCAACGTAAAACGGATATACTCTATCCAGTAAATGTCCTTCTTTCTTAAGGTACTTTATTCTTGAAAGGAACGTCAAACCTCGTATATACAAGTCGATACGTGGTATAATGTAAAGTGAACGTGAGACGACTAACAAAACGCACTTTATTAGGCCAGGCAAATCTAATACACTGAATACTGATCGCAACCGACCATAATTGTTTTTGAGTAAATTATTATTATCATTATTATTATTATTATTATTATTAATATTACCTCCGCCAAGGAGGTTATGTTTTCACCCCTGTTTATTTGTCTGTCTGTCTGTCTGTCTGTCTGTCTGTCTGTCTGTCTGCCTGTCTGTTTGTCATCAACATAACTCAAAAAGTTATGGATGAATTTCGATGGAATTTTCAGGGTAGGTCAAAAAAGGGTTAACTTAGAAGTGATAAGTTTTTGGTGGTGACCCGGATCAATTATCGATCAATAATCAAAAATAAAAAAAAACTAAGTTATGGACCGATTTTGATGAAATTTTCAGGAACTGTCAGAAGTGGGCCAAGGAACAGATGATTAGTTTTTGGTGGTGATCCGGATCAATAATCAATCAATAATCAATAATCAAAATTTCGAAAACTTACCGGTGAAACGGCATTGGATGGATATTTGCTGCCTTGGCGGAGGTCTGCGCTCTCTGAGTTATTATTGTATTTATGTTCGAATGAAAAGAAATACGCAAGTTAATGCTCATTTGCATTTTTTTACTTAGTACGTAATTACCTCGTGTTTTAAATAAAATACAAATTCATTCCGAACCTGTTTACAGAGAGAAGTTGCTCGTTAAACGACATAAAAATTTGTCAGGCCTTACTCGTGGGAATTCAGTGATCCAAAGAGTGAAGTTTGAGGTTAACAGAGAAACTAGTTTGGCAAACATATAACAGGAGTGCATATTCCTTCGAAGTAAAAGAAATGAATACATGAAACCATTGTCCAGGTGAACATCATACTCACAACCCAATTTTAGTACATATCATACAGACAAATGTTGAATGCAACCAATAATTCCGTTATAAGGCGATCTAAGATAGCCGAAGACAATGACTGTATATTATAATTAATATGACGATTATGATAACGATAATTGTACTTTTTGTTTCTTTGCATGGTGCATGTATGTCAGTCCAAGACATGTAATTGAGTAACAAGGAACCAAACGTGTTCCTCCTTCCATTTTGTTACTACTACTACCACTACTTCTACTTGTACTAGGCCTACTACTACTACTACTACTACTACTACTACTACTACTACTACTACAAATAATAATAATAATAATAATAATAATAATAATAATAATTATTATTATTATTATTATTATTATAACATTAAAATAGTACGCATAAGAACATTGCAAAATTACTCAAGCCAGACTGTTAGTTATCAATACAAATATTTTCATACGACACTTATAACTGTTCAGAAGACTGAATCTTAAGACTGCATTGTAACTGGTTTATCAAAGGTGTAACAGTTTCTTTAATCAACCATTGGATCGAAAACCCTATTGTATACTTTGTAGCCTTAGGGGGAATTCGGGTTGAGTGGTTGTAATTTGACATGTCTGTTCGCTTAATATACATATATTTTAATCAGCCAGCGGACCAAAAAATCCGTTATATGTGTTATCTTGGTCCTCGGTTAAAATGAATTCCGTCATGGCATGTGCAAATTCGTCAATGGTTATCAACCCATCTTTGTTGGTGTCCATCACGTCAAATATTTTCTTCGACTCTTCCACGGGGATGTGTAAGCTGTAGAAAAAAGCCTTGTGTTCTTCATTCGAAATTAAGTCGAATGCGCTGGTTGAGAATACGCTGTGTTCTCTCATCTAAAAGAAGCAAAGGGTGGTTTCAGATTGATGTTGGAACCCAATGTACACATCCGTAGTTTTCAATAAATCCACGCTACGTCGGCAAAAGTTTTTCACGAACGATTATATCATGATTTGAAATGAAAGAGGGTGTTTGTAAGGGAGGACGAGAGAGATGCGAAAAGTAATTTAACAAACAACAAGCTTATTACAGATTAGTGTATAGTTCTTTCTTAAATGATTCACCAGTTTAACTATAACCCACCGTTAAGGCCCAAATACTGAGCACAGCGTTTTGCACTAATCACGAAGTCTTCTTTTGAAACGTAGCCGTCAGCGTTTGTGTCGAAACGCCTGAAAGTCGTACGTAACTTCCGTCTCCAGTGATCAGACCCAGTCACCGGCGGGTAGTCCACTGGAGCCTGAAATATGTACAAGTACATGGAAATTGGATTTAGAAAATAAAAAAAAAATTATAGAGTAGTTAATTGAAGAAAATCCTGGAATGAATAAGCGTGCGGGAATGATTTTAAGAGATAAGAAATTAGTCTCAGTAAGCCCTTACGTTCAAAATTAAATTCTATGATTACAGTCAGACCATGTAAGATTTTTTATCTGAAATATTAGGAGCACTACATGTATATAGCGATTCCGGAGCATGTGTGTAACAAGCATTGATTTATATTTGGAATAGGGACTGTTTCTACTTTTACCTTTTTGAACTGTATCGGTCGATGTTTTATTTCTCTGACGGGTAAACTGAGTGGAGAGAATTTAGGATCGTGTCCATGTTGCACATCCTTCCAAATTGTCCGGTTAACTGGAATAGCCCTTAATACGCCCTGACATGCTCGGATAACATTTAATAATCTTCTACTAGCCCTTGGCATGCTGACCACTGTTAAAATAGATATACCAGTTAGCTAGAAAATCATCCTTTGCTTTAACACTGTTATTTGCTTTAACTCAGTGTTAAACAGAACATTCGCTGTTGTATATTTTCAAAAGTCAACTGGCTGTAGAATGTAAAGTGAACGTGCTACGACTGACAATTACGCGGTATACTACTCCAGGCAAAACTACCGGTAATATTCTGATCACACAGTGCGACCAGCTCTAATTTTGAATAAATAATAATAATAATAATAATGCTCCTAATATTATTATTATTATTATTATTATTATTATTATTAATGCATTTTCACATTGAAAAAAAATGCAATGGGTACTATTTTTGAAAATTAAATTAATATTCCCCCCAGCAAAAAAAAAAAAAAAAACACTTAAAAATAAGAACCAACTTTTAAATACAACACAGACATATTCCAGCTCTTATTACAGAGATTCGGCGCTCGTTTAACAAGTTATCTGACCTTATTTGAGGGTATTCAGTGATCCAAAGAGTGAAGGTGGCGGTTAGCAGGGAAACTTGTTTCATATTGACAAGCTTATGACAGGGGTGCATAAATTCCTGCATAACCAAAGCAGGGTCACCTAGGAAGGCTTGCTGAATACCATAGCTGCACCACAGTTTCATATACATGTAGCTCAAGAAAACCGACCTTTCCCCCTACGGAATCAAATCAAATAACTTCCCATACTTATAGCACGATTGCAGCAATTGTGCTGCTTGCTCAACTACCACATGAAATGCAAACAACTAGTAGTACAGTAGTAGTGTATTTTGTACTGGTGTTAAAACAACTACGTAAATAGAAGATTCATATCGCAGTAATATAAGGTTAATGATGTATGGTTGAAAAACTGAGCAATGTATCCCCTTATTAGTTCAAGGAAATTTAGCCTTTTAATTCAACTATATCAAGAACTGTCAATTTTTTTTCAAATAGTAGACGTCCGCTGGTAGATATTTGAAAATACGTGCGACCAATTAGTTCAATTACTAGCTAGAAAAGTTAAGATAGTGGCATCCTTTGCCTTCGTCAAGATCAGAGTTCATCACTTCACATTAATCCGATGCATCTTTATCCACTGTTTAATACTCCAAAATTAGTCTTCCTTAAACAGCGAGCACTTGCTGCAGGCAATTGGTTCGCATTAATTGGAAGCCCTGGCGATCATGGCGGTCAGAAATTTAGTCAAGGTTTTTTGGAATGAAATAGTTTAAATAATTGTCAATTCAAGATAAACGATATGTGATTCGGTTATATCTATCCCAAATCATAATTCTAGGTCTCGGATAAACATGACAATTAATAAAAAAAAACGTTTCCACAAACGTGTCTTTAAAAATTAAGCCAAAGAAACCACTGTAAAGGTTTCAACCTCTGACTGTAAACTCAAGTAGCGTCATTGATTTGATACATTATCTCACCTTGATTAGCAGTAATTGATACTTTCATTGCCAATGATTCATCTTCTTTCATGTTTACTTTCATACGAATAGATTTATAGATCTTCCTCTGGGCAGCGAGTATTTCCTGCAGGCACTTGGTTCTAATTGGTTTAAATAATAGTCAATTCATGATAAATGGCGTGTGGTTCGGTTATATCTATACTAAATCATAAATCTTATCCTCGGATAAACATGTCAATTAAATAAAAAAACGTTTCGACAAACGTGTCTATAAAGTTAAGCCAAAGAAACCACTGTAAAGGTATTAACTTCTGACTGTAAACTCAAGTAGCGTCATTGATTTGATACATTATCTCACCTTGATTAGCAGTAATTGATACTTTCATTGCCAATGATTCATCTTCTTTCATGTTGACCTAAAAAGTAAAATAAAATATAGGAATATTGTGCTGTTCGGCTAACGATTATTTATTATTTTTTTTACGTTGATTTTAACTTTCTTGTTTTTTACAAGAAACTACGAAGTGTTAATTGAGATTACAATATGGTACGTAATAAATAAATAGACATAAAATATAATATATTTATGATTTTGATAAAAGCCGCGATAGCTTTATAATAAAGATAAGCAGCAGGAATTGGGAAGAGTATTTGAAGTTGTGCATATTAGTGCAGTAACTAGCATTTGCTAAGCTAGTAACTTGCTTGTACAATGCCAGATATAATAATATATGTATATTTTTGTAAAAACCGCGACAGCTTCATAATGAAGATAAGTGGCAGAAATTAGATTAGTGCAGTTACTAACATTGGTTAAGCTAGTAA